GATCAGCCGCCCCCCTCTCCCTCCTGTCATCGCCGCCCCGAAAGCGGCCTGCCCGGGAGGAAGCAGGGGGGCCTCGCGGCTGCTTTTCTTTCCTTTACTTTTTTTCTTTATTTTTCTTTGTTTTTTTCCTTCCTTGTGGCTGCTGCAATCGTTCAGCGCTACTGCCCGTGCAGCCCGTGAGTTACGGGCCCAGTTCTCACCCAAACTGCCCCTGCAGAAAGTGTCAGGGGGACATCAGCACCGCCAGGCCCGGGGGAGCCCGTTGCTTCACTTACTTTATGCCTTAGTTGAGGCAGCGGCTGCTGAGTGGGATCACCATGGGGATCCATTTCTTACAGTGTTCATTTTTTTCTCTTTTATTAAACTATATCTCCCATAATTTTGCTGCCTATTGGGAAGAATTTCCTTGGAGCAGTGTTGGCCGGGCAGCTGCTTATTTGCCGCTCTCTAGTGGGTGTGAACACTGTGGGAATCCCACTCCACCCATTTAAAAAAACTGGCCTAACTCAAAACTTTAATGTTTCTCTGGCTTCTCTAGCATTTCTGGTTGTCAGGATATATTCATACAGCTGTGTTTGTATATCAAGATAGTTATTGCTTAACTTTACCCTGAGCCCTTTAAATATACTGTGCTGTAGTAATGTGTCAGTAATGTAGGTTAGTAGGATAACTGCTTAAAGGTACGCACTGCCTTTCACAAAAACAGGTATTTCTGTGTGGGGACCTGCATGAAAATGATGCATTTTTTTTTCCCTCTAGGCATTTGTATGGGGTTCTAACACTTTAGTAATGTGTATTTTTATTATATGTATTCAGAGCTCTTCAACATGTCAAATCCTGTACTTAAACTGCCACCGTGCTGCTTCACGTGCCTTTAAAATGTGATGCTGGCATTAATATGGTACATTTTCAAGTGAATGTATATATCAAATCATGCTTTTATGATGGGCTGTGTGTTTGAGCAAGCAGGGTCAAGTTAGAAGAGAAGGGAGGCTGTGATTCCCTGCTCTCTTGGACCTTGCTCAGCTGCAGGTTTTAAAATAGCATCGCTGCAGAACTTGCTGCTGTACTGTGCCGTTGTGCTGCACACGACAGGGACACCTTGTCTGCTTCAATATAACTAGTGCTAGATAGGCAGTATGTGGTTTATAATGTAGACAGCATGGAATGAAAGTTGTGTTTGCCTGTTCATAGTCTTGATAACGTGCATATGGGAATCTAGGACATGCAGACTTTTTGAAGACCAAAATCCTTATGTTACAGTTAGAGCACTCATACGATAGGTAGAGTCTTGGAGAAGGAGTGCAGTGGTTCTGTAAAACCTTTGGGGTAGCCGTTGTTTAGTGGGCTGATCGTGAATGTCAATTTGTGTCAGAGCTCAGATGACTCAAACTCGTGTCCTGTTGTCCAAAGACTTGATGGGATTTCTGTTTGTTTCCTTCCTGGGCTCTAACTTTTTCTGTGCATGGGCCTCTAACTATTAATGATGTGTATTTTTGTTACACACAGAGCTCTTTAACATGTCAAATCCTGTTGCTTGAGCTGCCATCCCGCTCCTTCATACTGACCGATTCTCTAAAAAATGTCGTTGATTCATTGGTGGCATTTCTTTCCACTGGCTTTGGATGTGGATTTGATTTAATTAGCATCCATCATAATGAGGACTCTCAACAGCAGTGTGGTTTTGAAATACAGTGCACATCTGGGGAAGCCCTTCTTGTGCAGGAAGCTGCTGCCAGTGGCCAATTTGCACAACAGAAGAGGGTTTTAGTGTATGAATGACTCTTCCTCATGCTGGCCTGCTCCTTCCTTCCTAGGCTACATGACTGCAAGCTGAATTGCAGCTGCTGATTCATCGTCATTACTAGAGTATAAAGCTGATTTATTTAGTAATTCAAGTTTTTGAAGGAAAGAAAAAACACAACAAGAAGAAACCTCTACTGCATGTTTCATCCCTTTAGCTTAAAGGGTTCCTCTTTAAGCTAGGAGTTGATGTTTTACCTCCAGCAATCCTGAAACTGTTATCAAGACAAAGCATGTGCTGTTTAGGGGAAGGATGTGGATATGGTTTACAGTGTTCAGTAAACTTTTGGATTAGCACCCAAATTATCTTCTTTCTAAAATATCCTGGACACATTCCTTTGAAAAGAATGCGCCTACGACAATTAAACGTGCATTACACCACCGGTACTGTTACAACAGCCCTGTAGCTGCTGTTATGATCAAGAGCTCCATCTGAATCTTCCCTTACAAGCTCGTACTCTGTATTGGAAGCTAGTGAAGCCCTATTTTGGTGTGTCAGAGCAAGGAGCTCATGTCAATAAGGACGCGTGGCGGCCGGTGGCAGGAGCCCTGGGCTGCTCTGCAGCAGCGTGAGCCCAGCGCTGCCCTTCGAGCACACGCATGATGCTTCATATGGCCAACTGGATGGATTAGAGTTCCGAACAGAAGAGACAGCTTCATCCTGTGTTCTCTTGCCCAGTAGTGCTGCAATTCGAGCGTGCAGAAACCAAGAGAATACTTCCCTGCGTGGCTGGTGCACCGTGTAATCCTGCCCTTCATTTGGTGGGAGGAAAAATAAAAAAAAATCTTCAGCTTCCTCTCTTAAAAAAACAAAAGATCAAAATAAAACAAAAACCCCAAAGAACTCGAGACCTTTATTTAATGGAAAATGGAAAAAAAACAATGTGCTTCATGTTTTTCTTTAAGATTACATTATTGCGGCTATGTTCAAAACAGATGATGTTTAGTGTTATGTTTTGTCCCTTGTTCTAATCTTATGTTTTTGAGAAACAGGAGTTGGAAAGAGAAAGCACTTGTCATCTAGCACACTTTCTGCTCTTTGCCAGGTTCAGTTCTGAAAAAGTTCGTTTTAATACTTTGTAAGTTTAAACTCTACACCAGAAAGGTGGGCTCCCTCCTGGATAGGTGTTAGTATAGTCTAGTACTGAGCAGAGCAGAAAGTGTCGTCTTGACGCATGAAGGAGCAGAGTTAAGATCTGCCTCTTTGCTGCTTGATTTGTTGTGTGTGGGCTCTGTGTAAGAGGGCTGCTCTGTGTTTCATACTGTTTTTTCACCTGTGAACAGTTGTTGTGTAGAGGGTTTGCTTTGTCTAGGACTGCCACAAAACCACAGACTATTTCTGGAACAGGCAGGGAGATCTAGTGAGCGGCCTGTCTGGGGAGTGCTCTGTGCTAAAGCTGAAGAGCTTTAGTGGCCAAGGATTTACTTGGAGCAATAGCTATTGTCACGATAAAGACTGCGACGTTCCGAGTTAACCTTAGCTGAGCAGAGGCACCCAGGAAGCAGTTTGAAAGCAAGCTTAACCTGGAGGAAGGTGGAGAAATGTGTGTCTTGGTTTCAAAACCCTAAGTAATAAATATAAGGAAATATTGCCTGGATTGCAATGACAAGTGCTAAAAACATTCTGCTAATAGAACTCAGATTGGTGCATAACAGTTCTGCAGATCTGATTTTTGTGCAAGCTGTGGTACATGGGTGTTAAATTGTGAAATTATATTTTACCACAAAAATAGCAAATTATTTCCACATTATTTATACATAACTGTAGTGCAGTTGTAATCTTGCCACCATTGTTTGTTTTTGCTGACAAGTCTGATAGTTTGTTGCCCAACAACTCAGACAGGTTTTTCTTTGTCTCCCTTTAATTCTGTGCGAGGTATTGTTGCATGTTTGAAACGTTTCCCTTACAAGATTCGTTAGATATGCAGCGATGTTTCCTAAATTGTAACGATCTGGGAGTGACTGCTCTGCTGCTGCTTTTCAAGTTCAAGTGAGGTGGAGGATCCGGCATTGCAGCTGAAGGCTCTGCTCTTTTTTTTTCTTTTTTTTTTTTTTGATTCAGCAGAACAATTCTGTAGCAGAAGCTGCCCCTTGTGACTAATGCAGGCTGGGATATTTATAGACACACATATCCAGCCCTTCTTCACTCCAGCAGGCAGGCACCCAAATCCAGAAGTCTTCTGGAATTAAAGTAAAAGTCAAAATTAAAATTACTCCAGCAGTTTGGTTCTGACAACATGCTGGGATGGAGCAACACAGTCGGTAGGAAAATGCTTTCCTTGCAAGGAGAGTGTGACTTTGGAAGCAGGAAATGGAGAGTTCCTAGTGTGCCTTATAGTCAAACTGCCTAATGATTCCTATCCTATAGGCATGTATTATGATTCCTGATATTTGCATTATTGTTCCAGCTCCAGACGTTGTCATCTTCGTTCTTGTCCTTGGGCAGGCAGGAGAGGAGACTGTTTGTACAGGGGCTGCTCTTGGGAGCTCTGCTCCATGGGAGCCTTTCCAGCACTTCCACTGACAAAAACCTGATATATTCTAGTTTAGCTTCCCCTTCCAGGTATCTAGGCTGGAAGGCAGAGTAGTAACTATTTTTTTAAACTGTGTTTGGAGATTACTGCAGCATTTGTTCCTTTGAAAAATGATCAACACTACATTTTTCTTGGTGTTATTTCACAACAAATCCTTGTAGACATAACTTAATTCTAAGTCTGAAGTGATAAACTTATTTGAAATAGGGGGAAAAAAGTCTACTAAATCCTTTAAGAATGCTTTGTTTCTTTACCAGATACTTTAAGAACAACGGCAAAAACTGCAGTTTTTAAGACTTGGTACTATAATTTTATTGTTTTTTTTTCCTGCAGAAATTGAGCAGTTTTTATAGTTATTTTCTGTCTTCAGTTACAAGTTTCAAAGTATATCAAATTACTGGACTTTCAGAATTGTAGTCTGAGTCGACCATCTTTGATTGTTTAAAATGCTACACTTTGAAAGACTTTGTGCTTTCTAGAAAATAGCATGAAATAATATTTCATGTAGTTATGTTCTAACACATTGAAACGTTGATTTCAGATGCTTAGTAGTAAGTCAGCTCTTGGTTTAAGTGACCCCTTCCCCTCATCTCCTAGCACAGTAGGAGTGCAGCAGGGGATTGCTGCTTGCTGAGTTTTGCCATCTGAGTTTTGGATTCCATCAGGGGATTTCTTAATAGAAAACCTGGAGATCAAGTTTTAAATCTTCCCTAGTTCTTGTTCTTTGGCTTCCATGTTAATTTGTGGCCGGTTTTTATGAAATCTGACAGCTGGCCTGTGCGGTGAGACTGCAGCGTGGGTGCAGCTCCTTGGGGTAAAACTGGCGGATTTAAGGCAGAGTTTGCCTAAAGCTTTGCAGAATAATTCCCATAGCCTGTGCCCTGCTGCCTGTTCGGAGGAGCCTGGTGCAAACCCTGTCATTGGCAAAGCACGTGTCCATCCCTGCATCTTGCTCCCATGCCCCAGTCATGTACAGCATGATTGTGTGCATTGGATTATGTGATTGGGCCCTATTTGTGTTGGACATCCCTTGTGTAGCATTATAAACATTGATCCTACTAAGAAAACTGTGAGCAGCGTATCAGAGGGCCCCATGTCTGACAAAATGATGGTAGACAAAAAGCTTAAAGCTAAAAAAAAAAATCATTGCCTTAGTCTAGTAGTGCATTGATTTTTTTTTTTTTCAGTGCTTATATTCTTTTTTGAGTTTCATCAGGTGAGAACAGGTTTTTCTTGCCATGAGAACTCTGCTGGGGCTGCCTGATAGTCCTCATGATTTATCTGGCTTGTATCCCTCAATCTCCATGATATTTTTCCTCAAAAACTGGCTTTAGATAGAGCCAGGCAAAGCACAAGAACTGTATTTGAAAAGTTTATTTTTTTCTCTTTAGAAATTGAGAGCTGAGATAGTATGGAAGGTACCTTACAAGAGAAGGTTATTTGCAGTATTGCAGAAGGTTACAGTATTTGCAGTTATTTGCTGTAGTTGCAGTACAGTTGTATGAATGTGTTGTGAGAATTTCAGGTTCCATCACTTGCTTAAAAAGGCATAAGCAGAAAGTATCGGGATGCCTTTCCCTTGGCAGAGGAGGAGGGACTTCTGCAAATTTTTGTAGCACTGTCTTGGGGAAAGGAAGGAGAATGGGGGTCACTAAATCTCGGGAGCTTGTAGGTTTGTGTAGGTTAGTTCTAAGCTAGCAGGTGGTGTAACTGTAGTGGCACAAGCCTCAATATAGAGGTAGTGCTGCTGTGCTTGGGTACTCTTTGGGCTTTTGGTTTTTAATGTGAGAAATGAACTAGCGCATGTGAATGCAGATGGAAAACAGCTTCTAAAATTCAGATGTCAAATGTGCTGTTAAAAACTGGGTTCGATCTCTCCTCATATAGGTAAGCAGATTGTTGTCTTCTATCTCAGTGTTTTAGTTCTCTTGTAAAAGCAGGATATCTTCCAGATGATCTTAGGCTGAGGTAAAGCAAGGTTGGAAGCTGCCGTCCTACATTTTTACCTCACTGGTAATGAAAGTTTATTTTCTTTAGTTTTCTGCCCTCTAAGATTGGCTTAGTTTAGAACAACTGATGCCAGTCAGTTCAGAATCAGCATTACGGTGGCCACTGATGCCAACACAGATTTGAACGCCCCTAGGATTCGAGAGGAAGAGAGACCGTGTGATGGATATTAGGAGTCTGTGTCTTTATGGGAAGTGCAGCTTATCAGCCCGAATAGCTTCCTCTTAGACTAGTTAGCTGTACATATTGCAAGTGCTGTAAGTGCAGCAGCAAAGACCTTTGCATAGATTAATTGCTGGAATACTTGTCGAGCAGCGTAGGTGGATTTTGCAGTTCAGGATGAACTATGTGCAACTGCAGCTGTAATTCCAGCAAAATCCTGGTTGGCTTGAGTTGTCTACATAAATTATAATTACAGCAGTGCCTTCAGTGAGGGCATGTTCTGTTTTCTTGTAAGAATTTGCTTGAGCTGTGAGAAGAGTATGTTCAGTGCACAAAGTAAACTTACTGCTCTCATGCCGGTTTTCAGGGAGTGTTGTTTTTCCTAATGATTTAAAGTTAAGGAGGATCCATTTCCAATCTTTGAGGGCTTGACTCATCATATGACCTTGGGCAAGTTACTCATCCACCTTGAGCTTCAGTTTTCCCAGTTGGAATATTAAGTAAACAATAGGAAACTTGCTGAAAGCCAAATGCTGCAATTGAGTTAAAGCTCCCTTGCTCTTTGTTCTTGTTTTGCCTTCTTCATGAAAGTTAGTTTCCTGT